TTCTAACCCTTTGGAAAATTTGGAAAGACAGGAATAATGTAGTTTTTTGCCAAGAATATTGTAATGCACAGGCGGCTGCTAGATTTATTCACTTGCAAGCCATTGAAATTTAGGAAGCTTTTCTGATTGATCATTTCACGGGAAGGAAAATACCTCAAGTTTCTAATTGGTGTTGTCTTTGGTCAAAATCCCCTGATCAGCATTTATTAACTTTTTCCAATCCACACGCTTGCATTTATTGATTTGGTCCAAATCCCTGATTAGCATTTAAAATCCCCTCATACAAATAATTATAAATACAGCCCGTGTATAGTTACTACAGTAGCCTTTTTAATTTCTCCTGTACACTATGGTTTGTGATAAGATTGTTAAATTATTTTTTAAAAAAATCTTAAAAAACATAATTTATATATTAAAAAAAATTAAAACAAATATAAAAATCTATAATTATCCTGTGCATAGCACGGGTGATATGCTAGTATGATTATTATCAAAATATTAAACTTTAATATAATATAATAAAAAAAAAGAAGACATTTAATTCCTTGAAAAGTTCAACACATATGATTATTATCAAAATATTAAACTTTAGGCACCGTTTGGGAAGGTGGGTTGGAGGCTTTTTTGGCTATTTTAGCCACAAAAAACAAAATAGGCTATTTTAGCCATAACAAACAAAACATCACATCCAACCCATAATCATTACATTCTTCTGTCACAAAAAAACTCAAAAAAGCCAAAAAGCCAAAAAGCCCTTCCCAATCCAAGCTTTTAAGCCCAGGCTAAAATAGCCAAAAAAGCCAAAAAGCCAAAAAGCCAACCCACTTCCCAAACGGAGGCTTAATCATATGTTCAATCATCAAAATTAACTAAAAAATTGATATAACAAAATGCAAACACAGAAAAATGTAAATAACATAATACAAAATGACACAACAACAATCTAACATAGCAGCTTCAAAAGGACAACGTATTCAGCACTTCCAAAGGTAAGCACAAACAAAACAAAAGGATACCCCAAAATCCTTTTATGAGACCTTGCCACAAACACCTCCACTACATAATTGGAAACTTGTAGCCCTAAGAGCCAAAACTGTAGCAAAACAAAAACCATGATACATGGATCATGAAGCAAACAGATGGAGATAGGATTATATTCGAAGACGAAGATTCCGTTGAAATGAATGGAAGTTATTGATGAAAACAAAACAAGAGAATTGAAAACGAAATTGAAAGAAATCTAAATCTAAATCTTAATCTATTTCAAAATTAGCTACTTAGAAATTGAAAACAACGAGAAAAGGAACAATATCAACATATAGAAAACAACATCAACAATCTTGAATTGATCATATTATCTAAACTTAGAAACTTTAAGAACAAAATGAAAGAAATTAATTAATAGTTTAAAGATGAATACAAAAATTAACCACACCATACATATAAAAATGAAATTAACCCTATTGAAAAATGTAAGGGGGTGGGAGGAATCACCTTCTCTGAAACTACTCTTGAATCTACGAGGGATGTTGTGGAGGTACCTCATACGACCTGTCCCAGTCGTCTTCCTTCGGATCGCCTTCACACTCCAGTGATCTGAAAATATGCCCACATCAGATAATACAACCAACCAGTATATATATATATATATAGAGAGAGAGAGAGGGCTTACATGTCCTCTTACGGGCAGCAGGGAAAACACAAGCAGAGCATCGGCTCTTCTGGAGATGAAAGCTGCGCGGCCACACCTCACACAGAGGGTGTGGGTCGTGTTCCTTCTCTTACCAAAACTCCATGTTCCTTTCCCCTGTTTCCATTCATCCACTTCTATAAGCCCTTACGCATATATTTGTATGTATAGATATATATATATATATATATATAGAGAGAGAGAGAGAGAGAGAGAGGTTACCATTGTTGAGCAGCTGCAAGAAACCCTAGACCTGTGAGAGCTGTTTTGGAGAAGAAGATAAATATATATGGTGAATGAGGTGAATGTGTGTGAGTTGAGAGCTTTAGGGTTGGCTAAGTTGAATCTTGCTGAGCGTCCAGACGGGCTTCAGCCCAGTTTCACTGAAAATGTGGTGAAGGGAAATGGGGAAATAGAGAAACAGAGAACGAGAGGGACAAAGATAAAGAGAAGAAGAGAAATGGAGAGAGGAATGGGAAAACCTCAATGTTGAAGCAAAGCGATACGAGCGGCAGTGGCGATGGAATGATGCGCCACGGTGGAAGATCGAGGGTGAGCGATGGTGGAAGACCGACGGTGACTGAACGGCGAATCAACGATGGCGAGTCTGTGAGAGAGAGAGAGAGAGAGAGAGAGAGAGAGAGAGAACTGATAGAAAAATATGAAAACAATAAAATAAAATAAATCATAATTACTAATTGAGCGGTAACGTGAGAGTATTCCCACCACCAAAAAAAAAAAAAAAACTTAATTTGTCATAACTTAAAAAAAGTTAAAAAGTTAAAAGTCACTATTCTATTTAAGTTACATTATCTTATTTAAGTTACATCATCTCTCTATCACATCAGTTCAAACCCAATTCATACCCAACCAACATTTCATAAAAAGTCAAAAAGTACACGTATTTAGAGCATCCTAATCAACCCCAGTGTGTTTTGAAATTGTTTAATTTTATCGCCGACTAATTGTTTTTTGGTCACTAAAAACAAGTATTTTCCAACCACATTTTTGGTCAGCAAAGATCAAAAGTAAAAAAAAAAATTATTAATATTTGGCGACTAAAATTTTTTAGTAAGCAAAAATTGGTATATAAGAATTTACTAATTCATAGGAAAATTTATTAATTTATACAACTAAACTATTTTGTAGCTAAATCTTAGGTAACGGTGACTAAAATGTTAGCTGCCAAAAGTACCAATTTGGCGACTAAATTTTTTTTTTTTGGTCGGGCAAAATGAGTATATGATGACTAATTTTTTTTTTTATCTGCGACCAAAATAGTTCAATAACAATTAAAACGGCATAGTTTTATTATATGTGACGAAAATATTTTAGTCTCTAAAAATTTTTTCATTCCCAATTTTATTTTTTTTTGGCCCTCCCTCTTCGACTTTTGCTGACCAAATTTCAATTTTGATTGCAAAAAATTATATTTTAACAATTAAAAAATATTAGTCGGCAAAAATCCAAACCTTTGGTTACCAAATTTTTATTTTCCAAAGAAAAACTTTTTGCGACCAAATAAAAGTTAGTCGGCAAAATTGGTCAGAAAAAATGTAAATTCCTGTACTGGTGGCACTTATATCCTATTAGGGATTTTAGGATTTTTTTTTTTTTTGGTTTGAAAAAAAAAATTTATTACAAAAAAAATAGGAGATCAATTATAGTTGTCCCGTAAAGTCCATAATAAAAAGTGTACAAAAATAAATAAATAATAACAACAGAAAAGTTTTAAAGATTTACTTTTCAAGAAGAAAACTTTCGTTTAAAAAAGCATAATAATTCAACACTAAAATGTCTATTTTCATTGCTAAAAACATAAAAATTACACTTTTGATAATTAAGATATTTCGTACACAAAAAGTGATTGTTCTTAAATTTTTGTCAATAAACCATAATTTGTTAAGTTTAGTTGCAAAGATTAACCCATTACTCACATATATAAGAAATTATTTACAAGCATGAAAAATATTATATCAAAACAATCCTGGCTCAACATTACAAAAGTATAACAACCAACTGAACAAATTGCGTTCACAATGAGAATGAAATAAAGAACACAACAGATAGCTCAACAACTAACTAAAAAAGTCAAAAAGTCTAACAACCAACTGAACAAATTGTCATAACCTAAAAAATTCAAAAAGTTAAAAAGTCACTATTTTATTTAAGTCACAACATTTTATTCAAGTCATATCACCTCTCTACCGCATCACTTTAAACACAACCCATACCCAACCCAAATTTCATAAAAAGTCAAAAAATACACTCATTTAAATCATCCCAAACCACCCCTAAATGACATAGGTAGTGTCATTTGGTTGAGCTCAACAATTATAGGCAATTCATAAAATGACCTATAATTGAGTTCCATAGTCAGTGTGTAGTGTACATTATTCATGTAGTATTCCCAATTACTGACATAGGTCCTGGTTGGTAAGTTGTTTTATTAGTTGTTTTGGCTAAAATAATTAATAAAGACAAAATATTTTAAATTAGTAAACAAGACAAAATATCACATTCAATCTATAATCATTTTATTTTTTTTTTCTTCAAACCATTAAATTAAAAAAAAAAACTATATTTCCAAATACAACTATTTTAGTCAAACTAAAATAGTCAATAAAGTTAAATTGTCAATTAAAATAACCAACTTCCCAAATAAGGCCATAGTAAAATTTGGATAAATTATAAATATTTATTTTGAGATTTGTTTTAAGTTTATACCGCCCATTTAAGTTTCTAATTGCACATCAAATTACACTGCTGGAAATCAAGGTTTTAGAGGCGTTTAAAAAACGCCGCTATAGGTTCTAAAAACGCCGTCAAATCCTTTTGTGACGTTTAACACTAAACGCCGAAGATGCGGCCGTCGCTATAACTCTATGGCGCTTTAAAAACGTCGCTATATTACTATAGGCGGCGTTTTTAAACGCCGCTAAAAGTTCTACTAACGGTAACGTGACGTCACCATGCTATTTAGCGACGTTTATAAAAAGCCGCCGTATCTCTTTTTCCAAACAAAAATCCAACCATTATGCTATTTAGCGACGTTTTTAGAAACACCGTCATAGCCCTTTTTTTAAAAAAAAATACTTATAATAAAACTAAAAAATAACACTAATATAAAATAACTCCCATTCATATAGTAAAATCTAATCAAATGATAGTCCACAATCATTGTGCAAAAAAAAAACATTCACACACAAATCAAACAGTGTATATTACATAATTTAAAGAGATTAATAATTCTAAAATTGATAGTTGTAAAATGTTCATCTTGTCTAATTTAATTTACTCAGTCAAACAAACATATTCTAAGGTTCTTAACATTCAGTTTATTCAGAATGAATTATCATCCATATATATATATATATATGAGTAAAAAAGTTCACCAGCTAAACTCAACTCAACTTAATAAATTTGTTCTAATTACTTGATTTTCTTTTTTAAGAAACGGAAAACTTTAGCGCACAAGGGTCAAATTTACAGTTAGCATCTTGATGGCCCTTTACCTACATGCTCTTCAAATTGTTTCATATTTCTCACACCCTAGAAATCTTGTTCATCAGCATTCTTCTTTAGATCTGCCAATTTGACGACACTAACAAAAGCAACCTTGCATATCACCACACTCATTCTGGATTAGAAGAACCACCAGGGACAAGTTGCATTATGCACAAAATGTTAGAATTGTAGAATACAAAATCAATAGGACTCAGCTTCTCAAACAAATTGTACAAGTCTAACAAGGCAGTAACAAAAGTGCTGCAATGTCCAAGTCTAATGATTTTTTTAATTGAGCGACAGATTTAAGCGATATTCAATGATAGCCGAAGAGATATCCATGAAATTAATCCAAAATATTATGTTCTAATATAGTGATTTGATGATAGAGACAGAGAGTAAGGTGCATTTCCAAACAGGTTATTTATAAACGAAAGCATTCATTTTCTTGCTAACAATAGATAACTAAAATGATTTGGCACAACTCAAAGTTACCTATTTGATATCATTTTCTTGTTGACAATCGATAACTGAAATAATTTGGCACCACTGAAAGTTACCTATTTGATACCACAGTGAGAGGACCACAATTGAACGACACAAGAAAAGGAAATCCAAGGTAAGCAAAGCCAATGACTATTTTCCACAAGTAATTATTGTAAAATTATAACTTTGAAAGGAAAACTATGAAAATAACCTATGAATTATAAGTTCTGTCAGGTAACATGAGGTAATGACTAAAATCCATGTTTTATGTCAACAACCTATGAAAAGAAACATGTAACATTTCAATAATAATGAAGAAACTACAAAAACTAAAGATCACAGTCTAGATAACAAAATTTTGGGAAGTGACTACTGTCAGATGCAAAATACACATTCATAGTACATAGAAAACTGACTGAAATATGGAAAACACAGACACCATGCAAAAGAAATTTAGGAATTCAAACGGCTATTTTGGCAAAAAATCAGCACAAGATCTTGAACTTCCATCACAACATAAAAGCAGAATCATAGTACCTTTGAAGCTTGCTGAAATAAGAAGTTGGTTTGCTCCATCCCACTAATCTAGAGAAACGCAAGGAAATCAATATTCCAGCATGTATATAAAACATATCGTACTAAATAATCCAACGCAACAGATAACTAACTAAATCAATAAAAGCAATGCTAAAGACTACCCTAAATAAAAGTATAAAAGCAGATGACCTCTAGCCAATAACTCATGAACAATGGCAACTTCATGCACCCTCAAAACTATAAAATGCTTGCATTTAAACTAACACCATTAGAATTGGAACAAATAGCATGCAATTTGTCATGCATGCTGTGTAGGAAGATATTTCCTTCGATAATTGAATATTGCATCCTTCTCGTTTACATCAACACTGCCATGGAATTGAAGTTCCACCTGGTCATCAATTTAGTAGAGTCAAATAAAAAGATCCATTAGTTTAGAGTGACAACACTTCTTTGAGAAGTTCCACCTGGTCATCAATTTACTAGACCTTCATAAAGTGCAATTAAATCAAGAATGTGACCATGGTCAGATATGTATGCATGAGAAGATTACATCAACCCAAAATCTTACAATGATTTCCTCCTCCCATGTTCTCGAAGATCAACCCTGCAATTGTTCGTCCTTTGCCCACACCAGCTCCATCTCCGATAGAAAAACTACCCTGGCACCATCTGGAAGGTGCTGGACATGTCTCTGTCATGGAAACGACTACATTATATCACAAATGATGATGTACAAAATTAGTATCCAAAGTCCAGTTGTAAAAACAACCTGACAAGCATAAACCACTATCTCAATCTGCAAGCATGACAATGCTTGTGAACTTTCTAGGTCATCTTTGATCATAAGATCATAAGTTGATTCAGGTGGCTGCACTGCGGATGAAGAAGATGTCTCATATAACCAAAATTATAGAAATACTGTACAAATATTCAAATACATCAATCACACTGATAGAATTCCACATCACCTTAATGAAATATAAAATGTCATGGAATATTTTGGTTGCACAATGCCATCAGAAACTCAATACCATCAAAAAACTATATTCCCTGATTACATCACATTGCATACATACAAATAAACATGCACTTGTACCCACATTCACTATCACAGGGACAGGTATGCATATGGTGCTGAGGTGGATTCAATTTGTTGAATCCCTATATGTTACAAAATGGCAACACGTCTAAAATAATCACCATGGTTAGGTCCATTCATCATTAGTTTAAGGCATCATCTATGTTACATGGACTCTTCTATTTCCCCCAAAGTACTTGTGTCCATTTGATATGACAAGGGTATGGAATATCTGTCCTAAACCCATACACAATTTAGAAACTTGGATTGTAATAACCCGACCCTCGTACATGTTCTCTGTTATATTTTCGGATCCGATTTTGTGATTTTGAATGCTTACTGTGAAATCCTATGGGAAATTAAAATTAAGTAAGTGAGCCATATGTTTAAGGATGTCTATCTGTTCAACAAGAAAAGTATCTGTTACATTAGAAGGTTTGAATCGAAATTGGAGGCCTTAAGGGCTTAATTGTCTGAAATTTATTTTATATATGTGATCAGCATAATTTTTAGGTAATATTAAGCATTTTTGGGAAATTTCAATTTCGGATGTTTAAACGATTACTTTTTGTCCTTATTCAATCAATATATCTATATATATATCTATAAGCTTCTCATAGAGCTAAAGACTTAAGACCTACCTCATAAAATGTTCTCTGGGAGTAAAGTGTTGAGAGGAAGAACAAGGAAGCCTTGAGAGGGATTGAAGCTAAGGTAAGTTCAATTTCCCCTAGTCCAATCCTCTTCCCCAAAGTGAAATAGGAAGTTTTGATATAGAATGATCTAAATTGTGATAGAGGTCTTGGATGTGTGTGTGTGTGTGTGTTGAAATTTTGGTATGTTTGGTATTCATTATTATGAGCATGATTTTGTGTATCTATGTTATGTTATGTGCATGTGAAGCTAAGAACCTCAAGACATGGAAGTGTGTTTATGAGCTTCAACTTTTGGTCCATTGAATTGAGTTGTGTGCATGGATTTAATTCAAGCTAGAGTGTTGTATATTGTACCTTAAATTTCATGCTTTTTGAACCATAATTTGGCAACGAAAAGATTCATTTTAGAGCCTTGCAAACACTTCCAAAAGAATGGGATTTTGATGCAAATTTCGGACCAAAACAGGGGAATCGCCGCACGTGCGGGAGTCACTGCCGCACGTGCGGCAAATGCTGAAAATTTTGGGTTTGGTTCTGCTTAAAAGGCACGTGCGGGGGCATTCTGCCGCACGTGCGGGGGAGTTTGCCGCACGTACGGGGCTCACAACCGCACGTGCGGCCCTTGCTGAAAAACGTGGATCGCTCCGTTTTGCGTGTAGAACCCTCTAATGTTGTCAGAATATGTATTTGATGCCTTTTAATATGTATAAATTCCTTCGAAGTTAAACGAAACAGAAAATAATTTGATATGAAAAGGAAACTAAATTGAAAGGGTTGAATGTGTGCAGGGCACACTCCGGGAGGAACAAGCAGATTATCGCAACACTGTGAGTAGTAGTATCATTATCCGCTTTACATATGGCTAATGATTTTCATTAGCATTTTGTTTACGCAACTATGTTAATGTTTCAAGTATGCAACTATGTTAATGTTTCAAGTATGTATGTTAATGTTTCAAGTAATGTTTCAAGTATGTAAAGAAAGAAATGGGAAAGATAAAATACCTTCCTTCTATAAGACTCTGGGCCTACGGCCATTCAATATAAGTTGTTATGATATGAAACAAAGTGCTACACGGAACTAAGTGCTACGACGTGAGCCACCTCTAGAATCCGTGTGAGACACCTCTTGAGTTCGTATAAGCATGTACAAGGGCTTAATGCCAAATTATCCAAGCGGCCGTAATTGCACTCTGTTTAAGGGCTTTATGCCGCCATGTTTAAGGGCTTTATGCCACCATGTTCAAGGGCATTATGCCACCATGTTCAAGGGCTTCAAGCCATTATGATTTAAGATGTGATATGTCAAGCTGTTATGTTCAAGACTGGGCCTAAGGCCGTTATAAGATGAACACAGAATCAGGCTAACTATGTGACCTCTGCACTTCCATATGTATTGATATATGTCATGTTTCAAGTTGAGCATTGTTTCATTTATGTATTACTATTCACTGAGCCCGGCTCACTCTCTGTTATGTCTGTTTCTGTAGGCAACCAACCAGGTGGTCAATCCTAACCCATGACGCCCGGTTTCTTTTGTCAACCTTCGTGTATCCAGGCACTTACGAGGCCACTTATTTTGTGAAGTTTATTAAGATAATTGGCTTACTTCTTGACTATCCTTCCAAGGTTGAATGTATATAACTTCAATAGTTTTATACATGCTCGATTATAGGGCTGGGTTTGTATATGTGTTTGTGTATAAGTACTGCTAAGGAATATTTTTGGACTTTATCGGCCTATCGTGGTGCATGTGATGTATGAGATCCTGGCATATTAGAAATAACTCAATGGAGTTTGTTTGGTTTAGTATTCTTTTAATATTTTGTGCTTCCGATAAGGCCCCATATGCTATATATACCAGGTTATATGTCTGTTTTTGAATGGGTCATGCCCGAACTTTTAGGGGCAAGTTTGGGGCGTGACATGGATCCTCCAACCTTGTACAATATTTGAAGAATAAGAAACTCACATTTGCTAGAAAATGAACATTTATAACCTCTTTCATAGATGAGAGACAAAAATTCCACATTTTTTCTATATCTTATTTAATCTCAAGTACATTTTTACATAATTTACATCATCTCATCTAAGAATATTACATTATATGTAATGTGTGTGTGTGTGTGTCCATAATGAGTTCACATACCCATATCCTAATTTGGATAATATCCGAATATCCTAAGATTTAAGCTTATGAAGGTCTAACACTTAGAGACACACCCATACACGATACTCATACTCAATTCCACATCACATGGGGTATCACGAAGTTCTAAGCAATGGATTCGAAGGCATGAATATCTACACTTATGAAAAATAAATATAACGGGAGGTAAAATCTTAGAAGATATTCAATAAAACCCATACTGAACTATCAAATAAGGCTGTATTCCATAGTGGAAAGTGCCCTCTCACTCCCCATGTCTATATATATAACATCATCATGCAACAAGGGAAAAAGACCATCCTTCAGTGCTACACGTCACTAACGGAGGCTACTAGCACTACAAGAAAAAGGGCATACAGCGATGTTTTTTTTTATGACGTTTTTCCAAAGCGTCGTCAAATCTGTCCAGATTTTTCAAATTCTAAAAGACCATTTTGTGCGCCAGTTATTTCTTTTAAACAGTGGCTCAACTCAAGGCTATGGCATTCTTTTATCCTAATTGAACAGAGGCGTGATTTTTGGTAGAGAGAGAAATCGAGGAGTTGGATCTTCGATCTCCATCAATTCTTCGACTGTTTGATCCGAAAAATCTTGTTCCACTCTTGATTTGAGGGTATATCTTCCTGATTGTTCGAATCCTATGATCTAAATCGATCTAGGGCTCAAGGTTAGGGTTTTCTGGAGCGTATATCTTCCAGATTGTTTGAATCCCTATGATCTAAATCGATCTAGGGCTCAAGGTTAGGGTTTTCTGGAGCGTATATCTTCCAGATTGTTTGAATCCCTATGATCTAAATCGATCTAGGGCTCAAGGTTAGGGTTTTCTGGAGCGTATATCTTCCAGATTGTTTGAATCCCTATGATCTAAATCGATCTAGGGCTCAAGGTTAGGGTTTTCTGATATAGATTTGCTACATTCACACAAGATCTATAAAATTTCATGGCTAAAACTAACGATTTGGAATTATTTTCTCTTGATTTAGTTGATTTCCAGGTTTTTTTGCTTTTGTTTTGTGTTTTCTAGGAAAGATACTATGCATACATACCTAACCTTAACTATTAACAGGAAGTGACTGACTTCCCTCAAGCTTCAACCATTGCACCAGGCAGAGCACATTGCCAATAAGGGTACACTAAGATTTGAAGTATCCCTACATCACTATCATGAAACCGAAATACATACATATATTTCAATTTTTACTGAATTTATAAAATGCAATTTCCAGAATTACTATCAAGTACTAAACACTCATTTCCATTGCAACATTATTTGACATGTTATTATTGCAAACAAACTCTCACAACTGTTATTCTCCCACATGCAGTACTCCATTCACCGGCTATTTCCTTCCTAAACTGTTATACAGTTAGCTGCCATTTACAATTTTAAATTCCCAAAAAAAACTGATTATATAACTTTTTACCAACAGTTCTAGAAATAGCAGTACTATATGGGCAATGACGGCATTATTAGTAAAAAATTAACAATAGTATAATAGAAACGCCATATCACGTCTTTCCTTTGAAACTTCCCAGTTCCCACATAAATGGACGTTAATGTAAAATACCACCTAATACCTTTCCATTTCAATATTTCAGTAGCATAATCATGGTTTACTATGTGAATTCAGAATTTTATAATTCTCCATCCACAGATATTCCTGTTCATTTGTGTAATCAGAATTCTTCTGCACAATTTTTCCTGTTGCTCTACTAGTACTGTTAGATTCCACACTCATTTTCCATCACTTCTAGAGCTACAAGGTTTCCTTGCTTTATATCTCTTACATAAGAAGAAAAGCAACTCCGTGCTCTCTATTACAGATTCCAGTGGAAGAACAGTTTAGTCACATTCAATTCACCCACTCAGAGAATTTAATCAATATAGCACCCAAAATGCATAGAGTAATTATTTTTTCTTTATTCCCCAACCAACCCCCCCTCCCCCCGGCGTTGTGATAAGATTGATA